ATAGGGTTAGGTCCAAATTGGTCCAAATGAGTAAAGAGAAGTAAAGATTCTTGGAGGATTTTAGGAAATATTCTAGAATCCGCCCAGTGTAGATATCTTGTAGGTAGGGGTGCGAATGGTTCGGTTCGGTTCGGTTTTAGGCACAAACCGGAACCGGAACCGAAGTGTTCGGTTCCTAAAGAACAAAAAACCAAACCGATCGGTTCCTTGCGGTTCGGTTCCTTCTCGGTTTTGGTTCGGTTTCGGTTCGTTCTCGGTTCATAAAATTTTCGGTTCGGTTTCAATAATGGTTCGGTTTTCGGTTCGGTTTTGGGCTCATTTGGGCCCGAAAATCAGCCCAAAAATGTCAATAAATCAACTCAAAATTCAGAAATAAAAAAAATCAATAAAAGACAAGCTCAAATGTAGGCCCAAAACAGGCCCAAAAATCAATGAAATTCATTCAAATAAAAAAATATTTAATGAAACGACGTCGTATTGATGTCGGTTCGGTTCCTTGGTTCGGTTTCCTACCTGGAAAACCGAATACGAACCGAAATTTTCGGTTCACATAAAATTGAAAAACGAGTATGCGGTTTATGCTTCAGTTCGGTGCAATTCGGTTCGGTTTTATCGGTTTTCGGTTCGGTTCCTCGGTTCCTCGGTTTTTTTTTCCCACCCCTACTTGTAGGAATTCTTTGGACTGTTCTAGTGAACAACTCCTAGCCGTTAGATCAAACATATCTCCACCGTCCATTAAAGAGGTGGTCTAGTATAAATAGGGGTAGGTCTTCATTTGTAAACGGTTCGTTGTTAAGGGAACAAATCCGTGACAAGTGGTATCAGAGCCCGGCTAGGGCTTAGTGTTGATCGAATTCTCAAACGATGATGTTGGCCGAAAACCTACATGCAAGTGCACGTATCGTACAAGTAATATAGTGGACTAAAAGTCCGGATATCGAACCCACATGGAATATTTAATTATCTAATCCTAGACGCTAAATTCTACCAATTATTATCAAGCCCACCCTACACAGTCGACTTTAGAGAGAATTAACTAAAATAAATTAAAAAGCAAATTAAAACGACAAAGCAAGAAAGCAAATAAAACACGAAGATTTATCAGAGTAAACAAGCCTAGGATTTTATTCTTCCCCCTATGGGATTATTATTCCCTTCTTCCCCCTATGGGATTATTATTCCCCCAATTCCTTCAATTATGCAAGTAATTAACCCGGATTATTAACCTGAGATGCTAAAATAATCATAATCCACTTCCGCGTATATTACGATTCTAATACTCTAGATTCAATTACTATATTCCTATGCAATTAATTCTAGAACACAGCATTAAGCACAAATCTCAATAATGGCTACCTAAGAGATTAACTATATTCCTATGTTAATACCACAAAGGCTCTTCTACCACAGTTCTAATTATTAACTCGATCTTCCGATTCATGCGATTAACAATAACATAAAAGCACATAAGGTGATCAAATTCATGCACTTAATAAAACAAGTAGAAGAAATAATCTGGAATTAAAACTTGCATAAAATCATAGAATTGGGTTCATAAATCCCACATAGGGTTCCAAATAAAATCCTAGAAATAAAGACTTAGCTACTCGTAATTCTTATGATAAATAAAATAAAATAAATAAATTAAATAAAAAAAAACTATGCTTGAATCTTCGTTGATCTTCATTGCTCTTGAATTTGCGTCAAAAGATGGATGCCCAATTGTGTGCTTGGCTTGGTCTTATATATGGTGGAAAACTTGGGGAAGAAGGTAGTTTCCTTGTGCAATTAGGATTCCTTTACTGCGCTTTTTCGTCATCTCGGACGGCCGTCCCGAATTTTGTACTAAAACTCGGACGGCCGTCCCAAAACCAGAGGCAGCTTCTGCTTCTCAGACGGTCGTCCCAGTTTTAAGTGTAAATCTGGGACGGCCGTCCCAGGCTAATTTCTTCAGCATTTTGATTTCTTCACTTTTGGCCCATATTTTTTCCAAAATTGCAGTTTTAACCCCATACTTTTTCAATTCTTCAATTTATACCTAAAATACAATAAATCAACTTTTTAAGCACCAATTATCGTTAAAACACGCCAAAAGCTCAAATAAAAAGGTACGATAAAGTGTAAAAATATGCACTTAACAGATGACGAACGTCGAAGACATTTCGTACGTAACCGAGGGACGTGGCAGGGAGGCCCAAGTAAACAACAAGAGAAGAGGGACCACAGCAAGGCTCGTGGGGAGAGTACCGTTAATCAGATCATGGCGAAAGACTCGAGAGGCTCGAGAATAATGTGGCCATAGCGGAACTTAGCGAAAGGTTCGAGAAGCTCGAGCAGGATGTGGAAGTCTTGGAGAATCACGTCGCCGAGCAACTCGACTTGTTTAGAGACAATGAGACATTGCGGGAGGAACAGTTGAATCGATTGGAGGCCATCATCCAATCCCTTCAAGAGGTCATCGAGGGGATGCGCGATGACTTGGCCTTGTGCAAAAAGGCCGCCGCTAATGGTAGCGTTAGCGTTACTTCAAGTCCAAGGGTGGACTGCCCGAAGCCAACGGGATTTAACGGTGTAAGGGACACCAAGGAAGTTGAGAACTTCCTATGGAGGATGGAGCAATACTTCGAGGGTATCGATTTAGTCGATGAAACAACTGAGGTTACAATTGTTTCCATATATTTATCTTTCCGACACGGCTATGTTGTGGTGGCGTAGAAAGCACACCGATATCGAGAAAGGCACTTGCCGGATCGATACATGGGAATATTTCAAGAGGGAACTCAAACGACACTTCTACCCGGAAAACGTCGTTTATGAGGCTCGAATGAAGTTGAGGGAACTCAAGCAACGAAGTTCAATCCGCGAATTCGTGAAGGAGTTCACCACCCTCACCCTTCAAATTCCAAACCTCTCAGAGGAGGACCTTCTTTTCCATTTCATCGATGGGTTACAAGGCTGGGCCAAGCAAGAACTCCACCGACGAGACATCAAATCCGTCGATAAAGCTATTGACGCTGCAGAGTTTTTAACCGAGTACCAATCGAGAGATTCGTTGCGAATGGAGAAGTGGAACCCGACTAAAGGCGAGGGAGAGAGACGGAACAATCA